TCAGGGTGATTTCGCAGTTACAGAAGATTTCGCGATATATTTTATTTTATTTAAACTACAAAAACAAATTAATCGCCAGTGCGCCAGTCTGCATGAGCATATATGGGCATATGATATTTTAGTCACATTTCTTGTCCCATGGCTTCAATATTGCACTGGTTGCATGTCATATATGTAACAGTGCTTGATATATTTCAGACGGAACATACTGGGCCCTCCCCCTTTCCCATGATGCTTTGCATGACATGAGAATAAAAAAAATGTCAAAAAAAAAAAAAAAAATCTAAAATCTTCTTTTAAAAACGGCTTATCGTCTGAAGCTGCCATTGGAAATAAATACTATGCAGTTGACTCATCTGGGCTCGAAACGCTAAATATTAAAATGTACTGATCGTATACATAGAACCCGGCAATAACCGGACCGGCTGAGTGGCAGTCGACATGCCACTTGCAACGGATAAGGAATGACGTTAACGTTGATTTAATGTACGCGTATCTTATCACATATACAATTAATCAATTAGCTGAAAATTAATTATTCTAAAGCTTTTTTTCGATACATAACAAATATTTAATTCCTTATAACAAACTTGAAGACACATCATTGAGAAACCCCTGCACAAAGTGTTCGCCTCCATATATTGAAATATGCAATGTTGTCAACACGAGAAAGATTGGTTTCTTCGGTCTTTGACTTTTTGACATTAAGTATGCCAGTTTTCCATTTCTGGCAAGTAATTCGTATCATCTTATCCCGAAGATATCAGAAACCACACACCAAAAAATAGTTGACCTTTTATTTATCCATCACCAATACACGTCTACAAACTAACAAGATGTGTTGATTTATGGACACCGGGCCGGGCATTTTCACATTTTAAAGTTTTTATCTAAAATCACTGCGATCTAATAAAATTGTTAACATAGTGTTTATCTGCAGATTTTGAGGGCAAAACAAAGAGTTATGTCATGAAATGATACAAATTTGTCATGAAATAATGAAGTGTTTCGTCGTAGAATGATGAGTTCAGGAAAAATGAAAGTCTTGACTTATCACTCTTTAGGTTGAAATCAAACTATGATTCATAACATTACAATCGGGTAGAATTGTGCAGAAAGTTTTATTCTATAGGAACAATAGTGGCCAAGAAATGCGATTGTGATTCATCAAATGATGTGTGAAAGAGGGCGCTAGACAGTCAGGTATCACTTGCGACACAATTCGGCGGGAACAAACTGATATGACGTGCAGAGCACGAGAATGTAATTTCTTTCATATTGTGTCATTCATTGAGTAGATCAAGATGATTGCAAACACATATACACATACCCAAAGACGACATAATTACAACATATTCGAGCTTAGCATGACTGACGGATTGGAGTTACAGACTAAAATATCGCCCAATTTTCGATGTTTGCTCTCATCTGAAATCATGAACAGTTTTTACATATCGCCACCGATAGTAGTAACTAAATCAAGTCGTAGTTTCACGAAATAAACAAGTATATGCTGTTGGCACTGTAAGCATTTATCCTCGGTAGCTTCTTGTAGTAACAAGAATCCGATATTTACAGTAGTTTATTGTTCTAGTTTACATTTAGCAATAAAAGCGTCCACTTTACTGTATGCTTTGGACCAGTTACTTCTGAAGTGTCTTGAAATATGAGCACAGGACAGAATGAAATGACGTTAAATTACACGGTAATTGACACAGATGTCCGTGAAATACATCTCCAATACTTACGTGGTAAAGTAAAGAATGAATGAATCACTCCTTCCATGACGTATATCTCCACATGTCCACCAGCATCCTTTAGTTTGTCAGCATACGCTAGGAAAAAGTGGACATCGAAAACTATCCATATGACTACATGATATGTACATACGACAGTGCGATTTGCACATATACATCAACACCACGGCTCAATTAATGAGCTTTCCGTCTTGGTGATGGTTCAAGATACCCATGATTGACCATATAATTTTGTTTCATTGTTCTACGTACCACATACAAAAGTTGACTTATGTATGGCTATATGTATTACTGCAAGACGTTTACTTCCCCATTGCTCTACCTGCCACTACCAAATGTTCACTCCCTCATTTCTCTATGCATCACTACCAAATGTTCACTTTCTCATTGCTCTATGCATCACTACCAAATGTTCACTTTCTCATTGCTCTATGCATCACTACCAAATGTTCACTTCCTCATTGCTCTATGCATCACTACCAAATGTTCACTCCCTCATTGCTCTAAGCATCACTACCAAATGTTCACTTCCCCATTGCTCTATGCATCACTACCAAATGTTCACTTTCTCATTGCTCTATGCATCACTACCAAATGTTCACTTCCTCATTGCTCTATGCATCACTACCAAATGTTCACTTCCTCATTGCTCTATGCATCACTACCAAATGTTCACTCCCTCATTGCTCTAAGCATCACTACCAAATGTTCACTTCCTCATTGCTCTATGCATCACTACCAAATGTTCACTTTCTCATTGCTCTATGCATCA